GAAAGATGCACGCCATTCTGACCACGCCAGTGCGGAGGCCCTCCATGTTGAATGTCACTGTGACCGCCTCAGGGTCAGTATTGGCCTCCACTTCGGCAATGAGAGCTCTCAACTTTTTGACAAAGTCCAATAACTCCTTCTTGCCCTGTCGGGCGACAGAGAAACGCGATATGCCTAGTTAGGCGGCGAGATAACTAGCAAGATGTGCAGCTTCTGCTCCTTCCAGGAGGGGAGCGCAACTTCAACGGAAGCACCGCAGGCTAGTGCTCATTCTCGCGCCAGGCCCCGAGCTTGGAGATAGCTAGTGCGACACGCCGTTGCCCGTTCTGGAGCATGGCGGATGCCATACCCATCTCGGCCTTTCTCACCCAGAGCGGGATATTCTCTCCATTCTTGCCATCGAGGGTCTTAACGCTCACCATGAGCGGCCTAGGTCGGGAGGAGTCATCCGTCGCCGACGGTGGCGTCATGGACGCAAACGCTGCCGACAGCTTCAGCTGTAAGTGCGTTAGCGAAGCATTTTCATAGCTCAAAAACGCCTCTAGGCGCGCGCTTAGCACTTAAGACCCTAGCAAAACAAGGTGCTCCACGCCCTCAGGGCCTAGCAGGGCATCAGCTTATTAAGCCCGTCTGAGGCAAATAGGAGTTTTGCTCCATCCTCCCAGAAAAATCAGATTGACTACGAGTGCTACCAAGTGCAGCGGGGCTGCCGTGGCTATTTGCTTAGAGTGAGCTTACTAAGGTCATCGACCTTACGTTCTTTACAAGGATCATTGCGAGTGTAACGGATCGCAATTCGCTACCTTCAAGTACTTAGAAACATCAATAAGGCGAAGGCACTCTTCCATTCAACACTGAATCTGTATTTAATTGTTTTGGCTGCCAATATCTAAAACCTTAGGTTTTCCTAATTAATATTGTTATACCTAATTAATATAGTAAAACATGAATAATATGCATCACTACTGGCAATCCTGTCCATGTGGCTTCTTGTTACGGTGTAGCCACATCATTGTGTGATTGCACCAACTTGTGTAGTCCACACCTATGTACAATCACAACATCTTGTGTGATTCGCCCTTCCATACAAGGGTATGTGTTTTCTCGGTTCACCCTTTACAAAGACATGAATTCCTTTGGAATTACACATCGTTATTGTTATACAGCAGACACACCTCAATGCGAGCTTTTTGAACAGAAAAACACGCCGCAGTCTTCTTCTTTACTTCCTGTTACGACACAAGGCTGGACGGTCAACCAAGCTGAACGAAGCGCCTGTGGCCGATGTCATGAAGACCTTATTGGTGCAAAACTAATTGCAATTTTCGACTTATCGTGTCAAACTGACTAATCGAGTTCCGACTCACGAGATCATACCTCCTCAAATGCTACACAGTATTGTCCTTCCTTATTCGATTGAGACCACTTCAAGATTCACACGTTCCCACCGTTAATGGGTACCTCAGCATAAGCTGCACGCGCCTGTCGAAGCGTAAAGCAGTCTGACTATCAACTTTAGGAATGGCGATGAGTCCCACCCATTACAAATGGCTGGGTTTTGCCCAAAGAGCTTAACTCGTTAGTCAGCAAGTACATAGGTAACAGTAACTCTCAAAAAGACCGCTAACGACTATATCACGCCATGATACGGTTTGATCGACTTGATCCGATGGAAGTCGTTCGATTCGCTCAATTAAAGTTTTCAAATTGACGAGCTGTATTTATCCGACGAATGGGCATACGCGATATTAACTTTGTGAGCACGTTCTAATGCAATTATTATCACTCTCAAATAGATTGCTACAGATAGATCAGCACCGGTGACGCTAGGCGTTGCCACTATATATCTGTTTTGCGACTTGTTCGAAGCTCTTGTTGTTATGGAGCATTCGGGGAAAGCTCCTCACCATTTCTTCGATTCTGTAGCACGATCAAAGGAAACAGAGCTTCAAATCGATTGTAACTTAGTGCTTGACTCTGCTGACTTGAAAGTGCGACGTCGAGGCGGGCATCACCCACGCCTTCAGTTCATGCTTGTACTTGCCACGTTCATACACACACTTGCTTGCTGATACAATATCAGACTAAACCAAGGTTGTAACAAGACCGGGCCCGAAAAGTGCGTTGTGGAGTTCCACTCAATCGCTTTCCGGGGAAGTGCTAGCAGAGGTGTGTTAGCGAAATGGGTCTACAACGCCGGAATAGTCTTGCAGGAGTGCAAACTCAACATCTATAGCGCTAATGATATTTATCGAAGTACGGGTCATGGTCCTGGAGGATACGCTGATTTGAAGCAGCGTATCCTTTCTCATCAATTAAATTTTGCGGGGTACAGCACACATGCTTATTTCTTTCGTACTAATAGGATTTGACGTGGCGCTTTCTTTTCTTTCGAAAATCTGATTAAGCGTGGGCTAAAAACGCCAATCATTTGTCAAACGCCCTAGCTAGATCTCTTACCCATCACATCATGACTTTCAAACAAAGGATCAAAACAATCTACGAGGATAGCCGTCTTTCATTTCAAGCTCAGTGAGCTAAAATGGTTTAAAAAAGAACTCATTTGTGATGAGTGATGAGCCAGACTTCTCCTCTGGTACTTCAATCGTGATATCGTAATCATTGTGCTACCTTTTGCAAGCGTCCATTTGAGATTAAATCAGCAGTACTCCCATCGTGATATCGTCATCATTGTGCTACCATTTGCAAACGTCCATTTGAGATTAATTCAACATGAACTCCTGTCGAAAAATGAGTATCAAGCTGCTAAAGCATTAAATTGTGTGTATTTTAATTAGCAATTGGACGAAAACACCATCATTTTTTGTGAGTGGACTTACAACCCCCAGAATTATCCCATGACTCCTTTCGCTAGTGGAATAGCTCTCGCACTAAAGGATACGTAGCTTGCACGATGTACGCGTCACAAGGTTGTGCGTGTGTTGACTCAGTAGTACTGCTATATCGTGACAATGATGGACCATGCTAAATTTCCCAAGGTACTGACCACCCTTGTTGTGACTTTCAGTCGGCCGTCTCTACTGGCCCTGGAACCTGAGACCGCGACATACATTCACTTTTATTCGTTCCGGCTCTGGCACAGGAGATACCAGCTTTCAACTGCAACCAGTTGTGTCGGAGGTACACTCTGATGACCACTACAAACAATCACTTATTCTTGTCTCAGCAGAGTAACATTCAAGAGACCATGGTATACAATCGTTATTTTGTCGTTTTTCAAAGCCACCACTTCCGCACTCTGAGCATATTCAGGACACTCAACAGCATCGCAGCTCATCAATTTGGGTAATCGGATTTCCTGCACTGAAGCTATCGCGGCTTCATGCCCGCGTCAAAAAAACTTATGCCTTTTAGCATGGGTAAGGTCATAATTCACCGGAGATCTACTAATACTGGAGCGGCTTCCAGTTTTCTATTAAATTCTTGGCTCATGGAGCTCAAGCCATGCCATAACCAGGTTGAGATCGTATCTCAAATTCAGATCTAAGACCAGAAATCAGTTCACTTTGTAAAAGTTTTCACCATTTACAGGAGGATACAGAATCCATTCAGCTCTAATTATTGTCTGTCGTTCTTGTTATCATCAATGCCTTCGTGTACTTCCACGTTTTCGATGATCGCGGGTCGTACGTAATTGCTAGACGCTGATGTAATTATTAAATCTTTCATAACTTCCACAAAGCCCGGGACAACTATGATATCGGCCACCCACCTGTACTGTGAGACCCACCTCTCTTGAAGATACTCGCTTCTATCAGGACTTGTTCAACATCGACCTTTGCGAGGTACGATAGCAAGTATCTCTTACTTAGTGAGATTTCTTGCACCTGCTAGAACTTAAACTTTTCGTTCGAAGGTGTCATCATCTGACTCTGTGTGGAAGCCTGTCCCAGACACTTCATCTCTCGCAGCTCTTAATCGGAAGTGAAGAGACACGGAGGGCAAACGGGTTTAGTATTGCCGTAGATGTAGCATTTATGGCAGTACCCTATCGCTAATCCGTTCTTCTACTCCTCAGTATTTTGTGATGTATCGCCACTCACGCCGTATTGTGCCGCAAACTTTCACGTTCCAACCGGCTGAAGCTTGTGTTCCTCAATAAATACGGCGCTCACTGCTACCGTAAAGGATGAAGACAAAGGTAGGAGGAGATGGTTACAGTGCAAGCCATACCGATATGTCGATCTCCGGCCTCCTTGGTCATATTGATAGCAAATTTCGACCACACATGCTACGCCTGCTTTGCTGGAGCAAACATCAGCGGCTAAATTCGCTTAAGCACTCCCCATGTTGGCAAAAATTTTACAGAGGTACTTTATGCATGTGCGCATTCCCGCGTGCGGCCTTCAATCTTGAACTGGGCATTTAGCAAAAGCGGCTTAATTGTGAGAGTCGATTGCGCTTCCGAGTACATCTGTTTGAGACGCTCCCAAAGCGTCCAACCAGTCCATCTTCATGACCGTTGGAAGCTTTGAGAAAACAATTACCGCATCCGATTCTACAGCCATCACTTTTGCTAGCTCTCCAGACAAACCAAAAGTTGAAGTTTATTGAGCGCGTCTTGTTGTCCCGACGGCAGGTAGGTGAACAGCTTCTGTTGCATCATCATAGATTATACTGTCTTACCTCGCAATCGTTCGTCGAACTAATTATCAGTCTGCCAAGTACGCTGAAGTTGCCGTGCACCAGATAGAGAGGGATTTTGACTTTACGAACTCGCGATAATTAACGCACAGAGGATGGGTTGGTGTGGAATACAGAGGACCCAAGGGCCAAGAGTACTTGCACTGCTCTTTGAATTCAAGATCAGAACAATTTAGGATTCTTTTTTATTAACTGACACTAAATATGTCGCTTAAGTCTCTATCTGATGTACTGCTTAGCGTGATTCTAGCAGCCCATGTGTCCAGCGCACCTCGCTCATCATCCTTATCCGTGACAGCTACGTCATCATAGCACGATACTTCTGATTTCTATAAGCTTGGCTCGATAACTTAGGAGCAAAAGTGACAGAAGGGTCAGGTGCTTGTACACCATGATACGAGTTACGAAACCCTAAAGCAAAGCTCAAGACGGCGTCCAGTCATTATCAAAGGTCATGGCTTGGCTTAACAGTTCAAACTTACTCATCTGCATGCGCAATAATGACATCGATAATTGCAGACGCAACCACGTAGTACAAATGTAATCATCCAAGCAGAGGCTGTTTGCCGCACCGCGAGAAAGCACTTAGACGCTTTTGCATGTGAGCCTCCCAGAAGAAATAATTGAGCGCTACAAAGTTGCCTGCGAGCGCATCCTAATGCCTCATATCACCTCTCCTCCGTAATTCTGCCTGAGCTGCGAGCATCAGCTCGTGCTTCCCACGAGACCGCTCGTTCCGTAGTGAACGCTAGCAAAAGCGCTTAAACTTACCTTAATCAATCAGTAGTAGTAAGAATGGCGTGTCATCCCACCTGCTCAACGGCTCAATAAACCAGATACAACTAGGCAGACGTCAGACTAGAACATCATGCAATACCTAATTTTAAAAGATCAAACCAAAACATCGATGAGAAGATGGGTCATTATTAATCCAAGCTCTTGCTGTAAGTAGCCCTAAATACTTATCTGCGTGATAATGATATTACAAATACCGCCATGTCGCGAACGTGGAATATGGACAGGCTACAATTGCTGGCGTGAAACGCGAACTTGTCTCGTCTGGGGAAGTAAGTACATAAGTCGTAAGCGGCAACAGCATCTGGGCAATCTTGCGTAATGAGACCTCTACTCTCGTGAGTATTAGGACAAGAGTCTCTTTTCTATTTCACTAAATATTCGATATAACACCAGTGAATCCACAGGCCCAGTATGTAACGGGGTTACACATACCATGGTAACAGGGGGGTGTCACACGAGATGAACATGGTGTGATTGCACCCAAATAAGAATATGGTACGTGGCTGGGTAGCCAGTAGTTATGCATGTATTTAGATTTTACGATATATAATTTGGAAAAAAATTACATTTAAAATTAGGCGGCTTTGCCGCAGATAAAACAAATAAATACAGTCAAGATTTTAAACAGGAGATTTTTATTAGCCTTGGTTTAAGGTTTTAACTACTCTTGGGAGTAGCGGATTGCGATCCGCAAAACTCGTACTGGCTCTTGTGAAGAGCATAAGGTCGGTGGCCAAAGTTACGCTTCCTCTAAGCGCAAAGCTACGGCAGCCCCGCTGCACTTGGTAGCACTTGTAGTCAATCTAGACCTGAGTCGTTTAGACTGATCCTCTGTGAGGATGGAACAATTTTTCATTATGCCCCAGGGCATGCAGGACGGGCTCAAAAACTGATTTCAATGCTGGGCCCTGAGGGCGTGCAATACCTTGCTGCGCAAGGACCCGAGGTACTCGGTGCGCGTCTAGTGGCGTTTTTTCAAATAACGAAAACGCACTGCTAGAGCACCTGCAGCAAGAGATGTCTGCTTCATTTGCGTCTATGACGCCACCGCTAGTGATGTATGACTTCCCCCGCCCTAAGCCACTCATGGTGAGCGTTAAGGTCTTTGAGGGGAAGGATGGAGAGAATCTCCTGCTCTGGG